AAAAGGGGATCTCAGTGGCTCAAAGCTGTTTGTAAATTTCCAGGCGTTCTTCTGTGGCTCCGGAGCATTAGCAGACTGCCTCCTGGGTGGTGGAACTGGAGGAGGAAGAGCTCTAGACTGCTGGGAATACTGATGCGTGAAACTGGGTGTTCCATAAGATGACTTCCGGCCCAACTGAGATAACCCTGTATGGGGCACTGGCTGGCTTTGTCCACTCTCGCTACTGCGAGGGCCCTGATATGTGCTCTGTCTGAAATTGATGACAGAGCTGGAATTCTGCTGTCCCAGTGCGTTGCTGGATTGTCCCATCACTGAGCTGAAATGAAAGCCCAGCATTCAACAAACAGTAGTCCCGTGACATGCTTTAAACTTTTAAAAAGATAACATTTGAATTTCTTTGGTCTCTGTCATCTAGGCACTAATTTAAGTGTCTATAAAATCACAGCTTAAACAAGAACCTTGAAGTGCAATGATAATATCCATGGTTCTGAAAACTTTTCCACATGTCATTATCACAGACCAATTCATCCAGTTAAATACCATGTGGGTATATTTTAGCAGTCTACATACATGAGCTATAAGAAAAGAGAGACGCTACATGATCAGTTAACGACACCTTTTCTCTTTAGCTTTATATGGATGAGGTATGGGTCCATAGGCTCTAGTTGAAGGGGCAGGTCCAGGGGCAGGTCTGTTGCTGCCATACTGCTGGGCTGGAGCAGACTGTGAGTTGCTTTGTCTGTTCCACTGTTGGCTTTGAGAGACACCAGAAGGGGAACCTGAGGCCTGGTAACACCCAAAGGCACCTAAACAAAAGGTCAATTCTCATAGGTAAACTATCACAACAAACAACAGCTTCTGTCTGTAGATGTGAAGGGTTATATAAATGACTTTACAATGCTAACCAATGTTCTAAAAACATGTAAACTCAAGCATACCTAAAAGCATGTTTAATTTTTCTGTGGATACACTGACATCTAGTGTCAGAAATAAAGAAGAAGCTTAGAGAATGAACAGTTCACCTGCTGGATTGTGAGATATGGCTGAGCTGGTGTTTGGTGTGTACCCGCTGTGGGAAAAGAATTCATTCTCAGAGGGAAGAGCTGTCAAAGGAACCCTGTTTCGTTTCTTCTGGTTAAAGAGCGGCACAGAGAGGCAGCCTGGAGAAAACGGCAGAGGAAAGACAAGTGAACGAACCACAGCGAATCATGATGCTTAATGACACCACATACTCACTGACTGTTCATTATTTAACCTATTTAACTGTGTACAGATAAACTCCACAGCTTGCTACACTTATCCATACACAAACGCTCTATCACACAACCTGGCTGGAGTCAAAGAAATCAATGACTATGAGGTGGAGGTGAATACACTGGTGTGTAGACTGTGAAGTTATTATTTATTTATTTTTTACCAACCTGATGTAGGCCTGGCCGCCTGGTTTTCCTGTCTCTTCATTGTACTTGCTTAGATTGAAGTTTATTTAACTGGCAGGACTTTTTTAGCAGGGAAAACAAAGGTAAAAGAAAAAGACCTTAAGCTTGGTTTTCTGTGTAGCGCTGGAGGTTAACTAACTTGGAAAGTAGTAAGCTAAGCTAATTTATCTTGCTCTGGCTCACTAGCTAATAAGCTAAGCTAGTCATACAGTTATTGCCTGAAAGTTCAAAGTGTCTGCTTTTACTGAACCAAACCGTTTTCTGTGAAGATTCTACATAAATGACCAGGTCTTTGTTGGCGAAAACTTGACAAAGTATTACAAAAAAAAGGAAGACAACAGAAATGAAAATTCAGCACCTCTGAAAGCGCCAAAACTCTACGGTGACAGGTGATGCCTTCACGGTCTATACGCAAGCTTGGACTTTGTAAACAGCCTGAAATAACGGAAAACACAGCTGGTCAAAAATAATTACCGTGACATCTATATTATTTGTGAGCTATTACCTTTTGTTTGTGATGTTTTTTGATCATCTGCTTTTGACTGTTCTCTTATACACAAGAGGTCGCCACAGTGGATGGATCCACATATTTCATATCAGATATTTTTATTTTACACCGAATGTCATTTCCGATGCAACCCTCCCAGGGGGTTTGTATCCCTCCTTAAACCGGGAATCTTTCTTGTGTTAAGCACTGTAGCCCTTTTTTGGTAATATTGTATTCAAAATGATTATACATGTATTAGCTGTGGTCAGAATTTTAGATGCAATCAGGAAAGGTCATGAATGTCATGGTAATTTGTGGTTTTTAATCCTTTCTTTGAACTGTTCTTTTTCCAGCATCCCTTTTTTAATGACTTTAAAAAGTTTTAAGTTCTAATTTTGTTTTTTTTTCTAATACACACTGGGTCAAATGTGTACATACAGGCTCAAATACAAGAATACACCCACCCTGATATGGGTGAAAGGTTTGATAGCTGTCATCAACCATCTGTCATAATTCTGACTGAATTTTTAACCATAATTCTTGGCAAAATTGGTAGAATTTGTTAAATTAATTAAATTTAAAGTCATTAAAGATGTATGTAGTGGAATAATTCCACTCTGGAAAAACAGTTCTAAGAAATCATTAAACGTGGAAAGCTATTATCACATTCGTGAGTGTATCTTCCGACCACAACTGCATGTGACATAATTTTAAAATTCCAGGTTAAAAATAATTCTAATAAAAGCAGGTGATATTTTAATAGTTATTTGGCCGTCACCTGGTGCACATGTTATGTGTTATTATACCCATAATGATAAATAATAATATAATGATAAATTAGAATATTTGCAGCAATGATTAAAAAGCAAAGTTTTTCTGTTATGTTTTGCTTCAGAAGCTTCAAAAGTTCACATTTATGCACTATAATTGTTGTCAATCATTAACAATAAATAGGAATCAAAGTTTAATTTGACCTAGATAAAAACTGACCTTTAGGCTGTCAGGCTGGCCTTTATTTAACCAACTTGTATTACCTCTACAGACATAAATTACATTACTGCACTTTCTTTAGGAAACTATAACAGCAATATGATGACTGCAGGTGTTTTGTCCTTTAAGCAAAGTGAAATTTTACATTCATGTTGTTAAGATCACAATAGTTGCAACATTATTATCCTCACAACAAAAGATGAATATGACTGAATTCTGGATGTGCAGAACATGACTGCAGTGGAATATAAAGCAAGTCACGACTCAGTGAAGGGAAATAAACATGCAGATTATAACATGATTAGCATTTCACACAATCGGAGACAGAAACAGTAGGATGTGTGTGTATTTGTGTGATAACAGCAATCTGTTTACCCCTGTCTTCCAGTAGATGGGGGAGTGAGACAAAGAGCAAACTAACAGCCAGCGGGCTTCCTGTGTTACTTTTTAAACCTACTTCCACACACAGCTGTCATTCATTTCTCTTAGTGTGCTGTTTACCACAGGAAAACATGGATTTCTCATCCTTACCCAAATCCAAAGAACTAGAATGTAAAATTTGCGTTATAAGTTTCGCCTCATTTGCTAAAGTCTTTGCCATGGTGAAATGTGGATGCTATCAGTCCTGGTGGTGTTTCAGGAGATGAAAATCAAATGAAAATGAGGCCATCTTGGGGTGAGTGCAGAAGAAAAGACGCGGGCAAAGGTTTAAAGCAGTGCCATCTCTGCTCTTGGTTTTGTGTAGTGCCTGAGGCTCAATGTGCTGTGAGTTCGAAGGCCACCTTTTGATCTTGGCTTCTATGTTTTGACTTTTCTGGCTTTGTGAATCCATAGCAACAGCAGCACCGATGGTCTATTCAGAATGTCTTCCACGTCCTCTTGATCCATTGAGAAACTCTTTGATCAACAGATAATTTGTGAAGTTGAGACTTTATTCCAGGTGAGAAAAAAAATCCTAATCATTTCAGCAGAGCTGAAATGATTTTTTCTGGGATTCCATAGAGACAGTGACAGTGCAAATGTTTAAAAGCAATTGGAAATGAAATATTTACTGGGATTTGTTCATACATGTTTACTAGGATAATATAATACTGTTGCTGATGAATTCAGAATCCCACAGTTTATAATGAATAAGGGCAAAAAACCTCTATCTAGTTCCCTATTGTAAAATCCTGTTTCTAAAAGGTTATGGATAAAAAAAAAAAACACAGAGCAACAAATTAAACAAGAAAGAAAGAAATAGGTTTTGGCCTCTCTATGGAAGAGCTTACAAATAGTCTTTCTGAATAAAAATGGGGATGGTTTATTACCCTGCAAAAGTCCACTGGTCCAAATAGTTAAACGATTTAAGAGTAAAATGGCAAAAGAGATTTCATCAGTAGCAGGAATGTCAAACATAAAGCCAAGGGGACCAGCAATGGGTGTGCCATAAATTTTGAGCTTTTAAAACTGTGTGTTTCAAAAATGTTACACCTTGTCCAGCTGATAAAGAGCTCCCCCACACAGACCTGTCAGGCACTGAAAACATAGGGCGGAGGGGAGCAGGCCCCAAAGTGTAAAGAACATGAAATCCTTTATGTAGCAAGAATAAGTTTAGCATTTTGCTTTCAGTACTACAGCAACTGGACTCTTCTGTTCCGAAATAGAATGTTAAAAGAAGAGGCAATTACAACATAACAAATCCCAGCTTCACTGTAGTCATGTTGATTGCATGCACATTTTTTCTTGACCTTTTCCATAGCATCCCAGCTTTTTTTCTTCTTCTTGGAAACAGGGATCTCACACAGTCCAACCTAATCACTAAACAGCAGACTCATTAACTCGTAGCCTAGTGCAACTGTGGGTCAGTAACCCTGAGATTTTGTCTTGGACATGGTCTGCATGTGGTGTTTATCTGTTTTAGTGTGCCAAAGATAAATAGATACAAACATCACAGGCTTTAAATAAGTTGCTGGTCTAAATAATATTTTGAATGAATGTTAATTCATGTTAATATGTTTATGCCCTCACTTCCAACCACTTCCTCATCTCTGTGCTGCACAGAGAGCCAGTAACACATCTTGTGTAACGTAGCACCGGGTTTTCGCTCATCTTCTGGAAGTTTCAGCTACGGTGCTATATATGTTCCTCAGATTCCCCTCACGGGTACACTCATCTGGAAGCTGATTACGGATTTTCTACCTCCCAAACTGGCAACCTGCATGTTGTTGAGGGGGAGGCGCTAGTTCACAGTAGTTTCTGGAAAGGAACCTCATGCTTACACCATGGAGAAAGTGAGTGTCCTGCTACTTATTTAATAATTATGACTTTCTAATTGGCATATGTAAGACATATTTGTGTATTCATTTGAGTTGCTTTAGGCTAACATTTCTTTACAATAATTTGGAGGTCGGAGAGGTTAGTCAGCTCTTTACACTGACCGTTCACTGTTTGCTAGTTAGCTTGTTAGCTTAGCGTAATCTCTTTAGTAAGGTGTTGTAGTCATTTGGGCTTGCCGTTTTCACCCGTCACGGAACATTTTGACGGTACTAAACTGTAGTGTTGCTTAACTTAACTTGAACTTATTGAGAAATTAACTTGAATGTTTATTTGCGCAAGGTTGTGTCTCACTTGTGATAGCACACGACAAGGTTAGCTAACTGTTAAGCTAACGTGCGGCAACTTAATTTGTCACACTTGCTTTTTACGTAAAATTATCCCTGTAAGGTTTGCCTGCCGCTGTTGCCAATGGATAGTGTAGGCTCGGTCTTGTAAACCAGCCTTCTAGCCTTCTGCAAACATGGGCAAAATACAACTTACCAAATCTCAGTCAAACGGTTATCTTTGGCTCACAACGTGAACATTATCAGTATGTCAGGATAAGAAAAAACAGAGAGCCTTTATTTTATTAAGAAACAAACAAACCAATCCTCTGTAACCCCTTTATAAAACGAAAGCAGACGACTGTTAGCTTAAATTGCAGCATTCGGTCTGTAAGCACATGCTGCAGGAGTATTTTTGGATTAGCTTCAGTGGTGCCATCGGCAGTCTGCACTCACACCGGAGGATCATTCTAGATGCACACACAGGCGAAGCTGTCATGGCTACAGCCGCATGTTGTCGTCAGCTGCCGCGTCCTCTCGAACGTTCTGCATAACAGCTCAGATATGAATGGATTTCATATCTGAGCTGTTTTATTACTTAAAAACTACTGTTGCGCTCAGACTCGGTAACCTATTTGTCCAGCATAAAATCAATAAGTGTGGTGCACGTTAGAAGTCAAAAGAGGGCACTGCCTAGTTAGAAATGTGCTGATGTTGCGAGGAATTCGTCCATGAGTTTAATTTTTTTTATTTTTTTTACCTTTTTGTATTTTCTGGATAACGCCAAAATAAGAATTATTACATTAAGGATTTGACACATTGTGAAAGTAAGACTTGATGCATGCCTCAAGTTTCTTGATCAGCATTCACCATGGTGCAACACATCTACAGGTTTCATTTTCATTTTGGACCGATTTAGTAAAGATTATATGTGGATTCTTACAACTATATGCACATTGTTTACACCCTAACTAAAATGACTAGACTGTTATTACTTGATGCTTCACACGATGTATCCAAGTGAAGTGTTTGGTCAACAACTGGACCTTGGTGATATAATCAGCTGTCCCTTGCTTAAAGCTCCATAATATTTACTGATTATTCACCTTTTTTTTTTTTTTTTTT